CAATTTTGACATTTCGCATTCAATTTTGCAAAGCGTCAGAAATATTATTTATATAATTATAACTAATTTCGACACTCCAAATCAAATATCATATTTTTTTTTCTTTAAATATTTAGAATTATAATTAAAAAAAAATAATTTTAAATATTCAAAAACGGTGCCTTTTTCATTACTTAACAAATTTTTTACATAAATCTTAGATAAAATCTTAACAACATCATTTTAATCGGCATCGCATATAAAATATAAAAAAAAAAAATTAAAATTCTTTAGCACCTTAACATCACATACTAAATGGGTGTAATAAAAAAAAAAATATTTTAATTTTTAGTGTTAAGATATTATCAACTTTATCTCGATTACACATAATATTTCAAAAAAATTTTCTAATTAAGATTTTAATTTTTAATTATGTCCACATATTTTATAAGTTATGCATGTGTATTGTATGTAAATATTTTAAAAAAAATTACAGTGCCGTAAAGAAATATTGTGTCAAAATATAAAAATAAAATAAAAAAATCAGATATAATAATCATATTTCATGATGCCAACTGCCGTACATACTTATATGAATGCTAGAATCTGATAAGATCTCATTATAAAATGAAATAAGGGGCACAATTATCTATTTGCTTTAACAGCAATTAATTGCATCGTTGTTTCAAATAAAAATGTTGTTTTTTTTTCTAGTTTTCCAATGGATAGTTTTCAACATAAAATTCCCAGCTATACGCTACTATAGATGGCGTATTAATCTTTTTCTATCTAATTTTTTTCTCTTCTTCTTCTATCTTTTAAATTGTTTTTTTTTTCCTACAATATCTTTTCTACATATCTTATAAAACTTAAAAACTGTCACTTAAAAAGATACAAAATTAAAAAAAAAATGGGAAAAATAAAAAAAAACAAAGCAGAACGCGAACAACGAACGGCTACAAAGCAAAAAAAAAAAAAACTATTTTAAAAGCAGAAAATTTAGAAAAAGAAAAAAAAATACTCATATATGCTCTCTAATGAGCCAGTTGAGCACTTTGTGTGGGATAAGTGAACGCAATTAAAAATTAATTAAGCAATTAAGATGGTTTTTGCTCTTTTTTTTTTGTTTTCTCATTTTTTTTTCCGTTTTTCTCTTTTACTTCGTTGTTGTAATAGTTTTTCGTTATTTTTATTGATTTTTACTGTATAAATTTCCTGAAAATTAAATAAAAAAAAAAAACAAAATGAATGTTCTTGTATTTTTTAAATATTTAATTTTTTGTTTTCTTCTGTCAGTTTGAATGTAAGAGTAGAGATGTCAAATACCAAAATACAAAATTACCGAGATGTCAGGTAGAAAAGTTAATTACAATAAATTACAAACTGAAAATTGAGAATATATAGTGAAACAAGAAAAATCACTCTCTTCAAACTGTTCCTACTACAATCATAGAGTTGTTGTTAAATAAAATTTAGACAGAAACTTGCATTTTAACGGACTTTTTAAGAGAAGTTTAAAAAAAATTGGGATGGAAATAATATTAATTATTAATTACAATATCAGATATATGGTGAGTGGAAACTGTTTTAACATTCAGAAACAAAGGTTACAAAACAATTTTAACGACGTTATGCCAAATAACATTATCGCTCGCGATATTGCTACTAATTGTTGACAATTGCGAACTTTAGTGAGTAAGAAATTATTTCAAAAACTTTAGAACTGCATATTCCATCCAGTTATTTGGAGAATTAATTTCTTCTCAACATTAAAATTTTTAAACTAATTAAAAATTAGAATTACATTTAATAAATTAATTTTTTAATTGAATAAAATTATTTAATAAATTTAATCAAAGCAAACGGCTCTTTTCACAAAACTGTCAAAAATATTTTCCATATTTTGCCTAATTTAGAATATTGCATTTATGAAACCTTCTTTTATCATTCAATATTTTTCAAATACGATGTCCTAAATTAATTAGTGTCTTTATGTCAAACTGATTAAATCAAGAAATGAAAATTTTATAATTTCAATGTTCTCTCTGCGCCTCCCTATAACGTTCTGTACAAACCTATAAGCACATATGCCATACGTTAATATTTTTTAAATATGTAGTTAAAAGAAGATGCAATCATATCACTAAATGACATCTTTAATCATTTCGAAAAAATTAATAAAAAAACCAAGGGGCATCTTAATAAAAAAAAAAATTAATTTTTATATGATTAGAGTCAGATTGGATGAAGAGCATTCTTTTTTTTTTTTCAAAAGTTCCTCTTTTCAATATTTTGCTCCTCATCATCATCATTGTATTTAAAACTCGGTCCTTTTATATAATTTTCTTAAAATGAATTGTTTTTTGAATATAAAATTTAAGTTTCGATTTAAAAAAATAAAGAGCCCTTAATTATGCATCTTTATTCGTTTTTCTCTGAAAAAAAAATCTGATGTTAATAGTTTGTGACTAATTCTAGCCGACATTGAATTTGGCTTTGATGATGAAAAAAAAAACATAATCTTAAATGAATAAACAGCGCATAATATACAAGCATACACACAGAAATAAATAGAGAACTGAGCACAACTTCAAAAACCCTAGTTTGTCATACTAAAACTACACCAAAGAGGATTAAAAAAAACGAAAAAGACAAAAAACATCTCCTTTTCTTTTAATACTGTTGAAGATAATTATAAAGAAAATCTTTGGCTTGTATTCTTTTACAGCAACGAATTACAATTAAACAAGTTTGACAAGTATTTTTTTTTACATACATATTTAAGTTTATACATTGTGTTTAATGCACCTACAAGCATTTATTTTGTTGAACATCAAAGTATGTTCATACAAAGTTACACAACATGTATGCATGTACACATAAATGTAAAATTTCTCAGCGATTCATTAAAAGAGAAGAGAATTACAAAAAAATTTTTGTAGCAAACCAAAGTGACCAAGCACCATATTAGAATTATAATTTAAGAACTTCAACGGAAATCAAGGGTTAAAGAGAAATAAAATCGCGCGATATTTAATATTTTTAAGAAATATAATTGAACATTTTAAAGATAAAATGGACATAATGTATAAGATATTGTATTATTTAATATTTTTATCTACTAATATACATACATATCTTGTAGAAATCAGTGTATATCGGCTATGTTGGTATATACAGTGGACCACTAAGATTATCTCATGCTTAACTAATGAGGTTAAAAATAAACTATGTTAAAAAAGAAAGAAAATTGAAAAGATTTTGAAGTTGAATGTTTTGTAAAACAAAAAATTGAGTCTTCTTGTGTAATATCAGGTATAATTTTCATGGAAGTTTGTGCCATTTATTTATGGTTAAGCTTAATGTGTAATTAGAAAACATTTAACCTATGATTCATTTATAATGTCATTTAAAGATTACCAGGGAAGTAGAAAAAAAATTTTAATTTTTTTCTTCTTTAATATTAAATTAAACTAAAAAGAGGATCTACACATATTTTATTTAAAATAATTGTAATTTTTGTTTCTTTTAATGAAAGTAGTGTTGCCAACTTGTAAATATTATGCTAGAGAATAATTTAATTGAATTTAGTTAATTTACATTGTTGGCTGAAGCATTTTCAAATATATTCAAAGATTTTTTCTATTGTTCGAATTTTAGTACACAAATTTCAATATTTCGGTACTTTAAAGTTTCTTTTAACCAAATTTGAGTTGCTAAATAAAATACTTATAAATCTACAGCTTCAATGTCACTTAAAAAGCTAAAAACCGAAGTTTTATCAAGTTGCGGGTATAGAGAAGCATTTTCACCTCAAATCGAATTTAAGTCTTATATTCTAATAGCTATAGTATTGCCATTTAAAGCAATTTTTGAACAATATGAACAAAATATTTCTGCGATATAAAATTATGCCATTGAATGTATTTTGCAATAAGAAGTTATAAAATTTATTTTTATTTTAATCAGTAGTTTTAAAAATTAATTTTATTTAATTCGAGTAAGATTGCCTGTGAATATTATTAAACGGCAACACTATATATACAATTTCACACTTACTATTTTCAGTATATGCACACTTTCTTTAGCATAGCAATTAATTAACCTTCATCTGTTTAAAATCAGATAAAAAAATTTTTTTTTCTGTCTTATTTTTTCGTTAATTTTTATTTTTTGTAAATTATTTCCTACTAATGGTAATTTTAGCTTCTATTGACTCGCTTTATAAACAATATTTTAAGCGTTTAGCGGATAAATTAAGATTAAATAATTATTTCTGGTCTGGTGTTAAATGTTATACCAGAAAAAATTCTAAATGAAAAGAGAAAGAATTGGATAATTAATTTTATTTTTGTTTTTTTTTGGCTCTTCTATCTTTCATTTGACTTTTTCTTTTTACATTGGGTTGATATAAAACATTGAATATGATTATTCCTGGTTTAAATGATTTTAAAATTCAATTGAACTTTAGACTATAGAAGGGAATACGATATAATTGATTATTTTAATTATAAGGTGGAACCAACAATAAGGTCTTTTGTGTATATAGTATTTAATGAACAAGAAAAAATTTTAAGAAAAAAATTATATGATGCTTTCGCCGCCTTTCAAATAAATGCGAAGATAATTTTTTTTTTTCAGTTGAATTTCCTTCTTTCTGTTTTCTTTTATTAATATTATCTTTTATATAAAAAGAAATAAATACCTTGAACATAATCTTAAATAAATCATCATAAAAATATGGAAAATTTTTTTTTAAAGAATTTCGAATATAATTTGGAAGCAACGCTGCACAAGAATTTAACATATGCGTTTATTAAATGTCAACAGTGCTGTAGGTCTTTAATTAATTGTAAGCGTGACGTAACGTTAATGTTGTTCTTTCAAATTATTGAATGAAAGGATTTAATAATAGAATTTGTAAGGAATTTGGTTTTTTTTATTGGTGACCTTAAACAATTCAAACTGAAGTCAAAAAATTCATTACTACTAAATTCAAATTAAATACTTTAACAACTTACTATACTTAATTTCTTATATACTTGTATGGACTCACTAGTTTTCTTGCTACCATTTTCTCAATTAGTATTGTATATTTTAAAAGATTTGGTTGAACTTACCTGAAAATTAAAAAAAAACAAAAGATTATTTTTCAAATTTAAAAAAAAAATTAATCATTAATGTAAAATAGTACTATATTTGAAAAGAAAATTCATAAACGGCAACACTTGCGGTAATGAAATGCTCATTGATAATTTGACAATTACAGAAGTTGAAAAGAAAATTAGGTTGAAAATCAGGAATCGTTTTGAAGAAACGGAAGATATTTTGTGCAAGTATTCTCAATTCAATTAATTTCAAAAATAATTTATAATAATTAAGTTTAAATTTCACTCACTCTATTTATAATTCAAAATTAACTATACTACTTTTTGGAAAATTGTTACATATGCAAAATCACTTTTCCTTTAATTCCAAAGATGGCATTTTATAATTTATGTTTTTAATGTGAAACCACAACACACGATGTCAAGTCATATGCTTTGCAGTGATTGTCAAACAAGAATAACGTTTTTTTTCTTTTTATTGTGTTAAAATTAATTTAACTTGACATTTAGTATCAATTTATTCAATTCACATTGCAAACCAAATTAAGAAATAGCAAAAAAAAAAAAATTTATATAACTTGAATTAATTTCTCTCGATTAATATTCAAAATTTAAAATGTTGACAAAAAAAAATAAAACAAATTTTTATTTGGAAAAAACAACTTTGTTTTTTTTTTTTTATTAAATTTATTCACCATAAACATGTTATAATTTTAACACCAAAAATATGTCAAATTTTCAAAAAATTTATTTGAATTTCATTCAAAATCACAATACCAAAATACACATATTCATATGTATGTGCGTATACATGTATTTAATGTTATGCCATTCATATTTTATTAATAATAATTGGAATATAAAAGAAGAGTATAAAGAAGAGAGAAAGAAAAAACAAACTTGAAATTTATAAAATTAAAATACTATAAAAATGTTTAATCGGTCTTACTGAAAGATTTTAGTTAGTTATTAAATAGAATGAGAGCTTGTGTCAGAATTGATCATGTTGAAACGTAAAAGTCAAAAGTGTAGGTCTCAAGAGGTTCTCTAGGTGGGACACTGGGCGCCCATAATGGGAGGCACAATAAATCTTTTAGGTCGCGGAACACCATCGCCCAATTTTGCAATCTACAACGTAATGGTGTACAAACTTTGAAGTTAACAAAACGCTAAATGAAATTGATTTTTACCATGCGCTTAAAGAGACACAGTTTAATTTTACCCTATCACTTTAAGTTATTTTTATTTTACACTATTAATTTTAGTTATTTTTATTATAATATTGTGAATTTGGGCCCTTTCCCAGTATGTCAAAGATTTGACGATCATGTCAATCACGTCAATCGCTTGATTTAGCAAATGACAATCACCTGTAATTTGAGCAATTTTCAAACAAATCACTTAAGCATTAGCCTTTAAAAACATGCGAAAAAAAAACTAAAATGACAATCAATTGCGTTAGCAACATATGTTGGAATTTTACGTCAGTTGCATGCATTTGACATTACTGGGAAAGGCCCTTGGATTCGGAATATTAATATGAAATCGTTTTCAAAAACAGTATAAGGTTGTAACTTGTAAAATGAATCAGTCAAATATTAAGCCTTATAACTTCGGCATTATATATAAGACTTTGAGTTTTATTATCGAAGATGCAAAATCTATTAAAGGTCAAAAGAGTTGGTATTAGAACAAGAGTTCATATCATTGGTTAAATAGAAAATCTAATCAAAAATACATAAGTATGTCACCTTAAAATTTGGCACTATAATTTTAACTTTCCAATTTTCATTCCTAACAATTTCCCTGATCAAATATAATGCCCGCATACATCTAACTTAAATTGACTTCATAATATGTCACATAATGTCATTATTGTAGTTTCGTGCGTCAAAACCCATATTCAAAATAAAGAAATTTAATATTTCTTTAACACGTAATAAACTATGAAAAGAAGTTTTCAATTAATTCTTTCGAACTCATTTATTTATTTTGTTTTTTTTATTTTTTTTTTATTTTGTGTTATTTGCATACATAAACCAATTTACAAATTTTAAAAATGTGAAATATTTATTAAAATATGTTTGACATATCAACACATCATTTAGAATTTGTAATTTATGATATACGAAAGTATATAAGAAAAAAAAAATATGAAATTTTCATTTTTGAATTTTTTGATACCTACAACATACAGTCATTAATTTTTTATTCAACATTGAATACTATTCAAAACGGAAATGTATTTAATATTTGTAGATGTACCTGCATACATAGGTAGACATATGAATATAAAAAATCCAGAGCTCGAAAATAAATTATTTCATTTGCTTATAAATTCTTATAAGCATATTATATAAACTTCACAGTTCACAATGCTGACGTGAGAATATTCTTTCTTATGCCGCAAATGCTTTGAAATTTGAAGAGCATTAAAATTATGAATGATTACTTTGCTCTGCTTAATAGTATAGTTACGTGTATAAAAGAGAAACGCGTACTCACTAACGTAAGAGAGAGTCAAAATAGAAGAGAATTTTATAAACGAAAGCTGAAAAGAGATTGTAAGTTTAAATCTTAATTAAAATAATTTTAGCAATAATTATTTTTATTTTCAAACATTATAAACGTAATAAAAAAATCAAATCGCCAATAATATCTATATTTCAATCACTCTCTCTCTCCCTCTGTAATCCTATCTTTTACATCATGCACTCCTGTACAAACCATAACTTCATACTTAACTGTGTATATATGCGTTTTTTATCCAAAATAAATAACCATCATAACAATTATTCAAGCCTGACACTTATAAGCTATGCATATAATTAAAAATATAAAAAATTTAAATTCAAATTAAGAAAGCAAGATTTTATATAAAAATGTAAGCACATTTTTATATTTATGTAATTTGTATATTACTTTCCTCTTATGTATATAAATGACCCAACATACTTACACACAGTTCATGCAAACGTATAGGACTGTTCAACCGGGTATGAACGCAACAATTTACATCTTTTGCCTTTGTATACGTTATGCACATCTCACATTAAATGGTTATTTAAAATAAGCAATGCTTTTTTAGATGCAAGCTTATGTGATGCTGTAATGTCATTTGATTTGTTTTCAAAAATGCATGAACATGTCATTAATTTATGTGCACAATTTTATTAAACACACACACGAACACAGACGAACAACAAACATCTGTTTACTCATTTATTATCAAAAAAAAAGAACAGCAAGAAGAAAAAATTAAACTTTTTTTCAAAACTATTAAATAAAATTATATAAAGCAATTCGAATAATCATAGAAATTATATTATGACAAAGATTGGTATAAATTTCATATGCCTGCATTCTCGATATTGCATAGTAAAGTTTTCTAGAGGCAAACGTACTCAAATATTGAAGGCAAAAACTAAAATATTTTTTTTAAATTTTTTATATTGCATTTTAGAATGAGAACAATAAGGATAGAAACAACATATATACATGAAGAGTGTTGCCTAAATGAAACAATACAAACAACAGATTTTAAACGAACATTCATTGTTTCAGCAACAATATACCCAAAATATTTTAGATATGTACACATACATGCTTGTATGTTAACAAAGTATGAAACTTTTAAGCACACAACATTTTAATTCTCTACCAATGCCAATATCATTGTTTTTGTACATACATACATATTTTGTATAGGCAGTGTTAGGATTTATGGATGAAACACTTAAATCATATTTGATCATTTAATTTTCATTGTGACATATGGTATTGATTGGTATATTTATGAGTTTTCATATATTGTGAGGACATGTTGATAATAGGATTTTTTATTTTATTTTTAGGAATGAGTTTGGCATATCAAAACAGTATAGAACATTTGTGAAGCTTTTTCAATCACATTATTTTGTGTATACTCGTATCATAGTGTAAAGACTCAATCGTGTTACATGCATTAATTGTACCTTGATGAAGTCTATATGATGGCGTGAAGGGAATAAATGAATTTTCTTATCATATCATTGTGATATCATTGACATTATCATCATTTTTAGTAAGTCATCATTGCAATTCACGAGCAAAATCTTTTATTTTCTTTAATCTTTACACTAGATATTTTCAAGTTGATTTTTCCTCCTCTTCTTTTTCTAAAAATGTATATAAAGTTAAAAAGAAAATAAACTCGGAAGCAGAGATTTGTTACAAGAAAACACTTAATTTCTCTATATTTTTATTATTAGAGAAACTAAGAGGGGCTAAAACTGAAAAGAAAAGTATCTAAAATGAATTCAAACACTTCAGCAAAAACATATGAGATTTTTATAGTGATTTGTTTTTTTCTTTACATATGGTGGAGTCATCGTTTACTTTGGAGGTCTTGTTCTCATTTTTCTTTTGTTATTTATTGTTTTTTATCAATAAAATGAAAAAAATGTATGGGTATAAAGAAAACTACAGCGTGAATTATTGTGGCATTTAACGGGGAGATTTAGAGAAATTAAAAGAAATCTGTTAAAAAAAATTAAATAAATGATTAAGTTTTTCTTTTTGGGGGGAAAAAATTTTATATATTTCTATTTAAGATTTAGAATTTTAAATTAAAAAAAAAAACCAGATGTCTTAATTTGGTTAAAACAACCTAATTTTAACATTAATATCAAATAACAATAATTAAAATTATGAAGTGTTCCAGTTTCTTATTAAGGAAATTAGAAATTAATTTGGATTAATTAATTTAATTCATTTGATTTTATAATATAATAATTAAGTTAAATATATTTTAAGGAATTTGTATGACAATTTGACAGATTTGACAATTACTTTAATGATAAATGACAATTTGGTTTTACCGTAAATATCAACAATAGAATTCTAATTTAGAATTGTTAAGAATAAGAAAAATGTTAGTGCCATTTGCTAATTTGATTGTTGGAGAAATAGAATTATAGCTATTAAATTTTTTTACAAAGGCAACACTTACGTCTTTTTTTTTTCTCTATAAT